CCAGCCTCAGCCTTGGAAACTCATGGGTGAGCTAGCCCGCCCCTCTAGCTCAACCGATCAGACAGGGTTGTTTTGTGGGGGGTGGGGGAAGTAGAAGGAGGGGGGGCTATAAAGGTAGGATATAAATACATTGGCCATATTTTCTTGGAAAAAGTAAAGAACAAATCTGAAAAAGGAGTCAATCTTTTTTGGTTCCTAAGGATAAAAAAAAAAATGTTTATGTTTATAACGTTGCTTTACAAAGGAAAATTCAAGAGCAAAGCCAAGGAAAACTTTACAAAAACACATCTATCTAAAATCAAACAGTACATGTAAATTTATTTTAAAAAGACCGTTCAATTTCCAATTTTTTCACATGAATGTGAAAGGCTGTGCATTGAGGGGTACCATTTGCATGGTAAAAGTTAGATGACCAGAATAAAGGACAAAAAGCGAGTTTTTGAAAAATAAGCCTAGAGGACAGCTTTCTGATATCAAGGACTGCCCTTTAAAATAAAGGACATATGGTCATTGTAGATATAAATCAAATAAATGAATTTGATATACTTAAAGAATGTATTAGATCGTTCTACTCACAAAGTGAGATTCTGGGCTGCATACAGTGTTAAAAAAACCCAAACTCTACTCTGTTTGGTATCTTTTACTAATGTTACATTCAGCATTACTGTATATAAAAATAAGCCAAGAACTTTAGGTTCCAAAACACACCCCCAAAATTGGTTTCAGCTTCTCAACTTTCTACTGAACGCACACTCACAAGTGCACACAGACAAATGCATTGCTTTGAGGCTGATTTTGAAAAATCAGTCCCTTCTTCCTCAAAGTCATAAAACCACTGAGGGTATAATGAGAAATGAAGGCAAGACATTGACAGTTTCAAAAACTGTTCCATCAAGCGTCATAAAAAGACTTCCAGCCATCTTTCTCACTTCAGGGTTTTAAAACGCATTTGATGCTCTTCACGGTGAAGCTCGGTTGTGAAACTGAATTCTTTCTGAAGGCTTGATGTGATTCAGTCGTGGACCTGGGCCTGCCCTGAATTAAAAGGACCAAGAAAGACCTTCCATCCTGATATGGTGATGCTTCCATACAAAACCTCGGGTCATGAAGACGGATTATCTTCAACTGACTTCCATGTCAAGCTCAAAATAAAACACTTGGCTTAAAAGAAATTCGCCAAGTCCTGGCAAACATGTTTTCCCACATTCCTCCCAAGGATATTTGCAAGAAATGTTTGGAGGAGGCTGGAGCACTTGATTAACCTGGCGGGGTAATTAAATGTTCCTGCCTCCCCAGTATTTCCTTCCTGTCACTTCAGCTGATCTCGTTCACTCTTTGGTTCCACGTTGGCCGAGGTCGGAGGACCATAGCATGCTCCCGTTTAAGTATTCAACCCGGGGGTGAAGCGATCAGCAGTTGGGGAGAAGAACAACGGGCCATTCGCAGTTCTGCCCACAAAGGTATGAGATTTCTTTTGCATCCTAGTTCCTGAAAATAGAGATGGGAAGGAAAACCCAAGAGAACAAGAAGATCTTCTTGGAAGTCTTTGGGACTTTCTGATAACTCTGGCAATATGGATCGGCACTATCCCCAATATCTCTTTCCCCCCAGGTTTTAAATCATATCGTAGTAAGAACATTTTTAGTGCACCCTGTTCAGAAGCCCCGTATCTGCTTGGCGGGGTTTATTTTCAGCTACTTGGATGCAAGGTAGCAATGTCATGATTTTCTTTCTTTCTTTCTTTCTTTCTTTCTTTCTTTCTTTCTTTCTTTCTTTCTTT